TCGTGCATCCAAGTCTCTTTTATTATAATAAAGTATATACTCCGGGTACCCTAAAATATCCAAAAACTTGTTTTGGATAAATTTTCCTTTTTTCCTTTATTATTATTATTATTATTACTATTATTATTATTATTATTATTATTATTATTATTATTATTATTATTATTATTATTATTATTATTATTATTATTATTATTATTATTATTACTTCCTCCATCCTATAATGATCTTCCCAGAGCACTATTCCAACTTCACGGGAATTTATATTTATTTGTGTTTTTTCATGGCCTATATGATAAAATAAAATATTCTTGTCACCACTTGTTTTGTTGAACTTTTGGTGTAGTTTTTAAATATGTATGTTTTATTTTTTATTTCTATACCAATATTTAAATAAAATAGATTGAAAAAACTTGGGATTTTTCTTCATTTTGCGAATCGGGAAGATCATTANATTATTATTATTATTACTTCCTCCATCCTATAATGATCTTCCCAGAGCACTATTCCAACTTCACGGGAATTTATATTTATTTGTGTTTTTTCATGGCCTATATGATAAAATAAAATATTCTTGTCACCACTTGTTTTGTTGAACTTTTGGTGTAGTTTTTAAATATGTATGTTTTATTTTTTATTTCTATACCAATATTTAAATAAAATAGATTGAAAAAACTTGGGATTTTTCTTCATTTTGCGAATCGGGAAGATCATTATAGGACGGAGGGAGTATTATTATTATTATTATTATTATTATTATTATTATTATTATTATTATTATTATTATTATTATTATTATTATTATTATTATTATTATTATTATTATTACTCATTTCATAATTATCTTCCTTAGCTGTCACTCGCTTCCGCTTTGCCGATTGAGTTGTGTTGGATTGCCGCTACATGCACTAGAATAGTAGTAGTAGTTTTATAGGAAGTTTTGAAAGTGAGTAGACTCTTAACTGGAAAGCATGCATTCTATGCCAGTAAGAAGCACTTCACAAAAAATTTGGAGTAATTTAGAATACAGACATTTTATACCAACAAGAAGCATATCACAGACATTTCAAAGAAAGTTATGAAATTGAGCAGACAATAACAAGCACTACACAGACATTTCGTAATAAATTTGAAAAATGGCCAATTACCACAAGTTTTTTAACAAAAAATCAGCCATTGAAAAGATTAAGAAAAGAATTAAATGACTGAACAAGTTTGAGAAACAATGATTCACAAACAAACATTAAAAAAAGACTAATTTCACAAGAGGGAAGAATTGACTTGTGGTTAGAATTGAATGACTGAATCTAGCTTTACAAATAAAAACCATAAAATTGAAATAAAAAGTGTTTATTATAACCTTTAATTTGTTGTTGTACGGTGGTCAAGGTGCGAAGAAGACGAAGGATGAAGTCTTTGCCAAGTTGGATCTTCCATCGATGCACCAGACCGAGGAAGGCGAAGTACGTGATTCTTTTGAATTACGGTACATATGTTATTCTTTTTTAACGAAAAATAGAAATAAAGTTTTTTCTCTAAAATACCTTTTTAAAAGAAAAATGCATACTAATGTACATTAAAATGAAGTTAGAATATTGTTTGAAACCGTTTGTTCCTCAAATAGGACTTCTATCTTTTTTTTCTTTAAATGGGATTTATTTTTGTTCGTGCACCCATTTTTACCCTTCCCGTACGGAAACACTGTACTTTTTCCTTTTTTAATTTATTATTAGATTGGCATATTTACAGGATAATGATTATTAACTTCTCCCACTTTTTAGCCATTATCCCTTCAATTGCGAAGCATTTTCTGTAACTCCCGCTGGATTAGGTTTCTACGCCCAAAGCAGAGTCGGCTGCCACCAAGTTTCTTCGCGCCATCACAGTAGAGTAACACCATGTTTGCTTTATTACTTGAATCTGTATCGTCAATACCGGCTGCCATCCATTGTCTGTTGCAATTTGACGGAATATGGGGCAGTCATGGTGTCTTCTCCTACACACATGTATATGAGATCGACATTCCGCTTCAGTCATCATTCGCTGATTTGTTGGAGGTCATTCGTAATACGGTACCATCGTCTTATGAAAATTCAGTTTTTAAGATTTCACATATGTTTGATTCATGTTCAAGTCATGTTGTGATTAAAGACTAATTTGGAGGACATAGGAGTCTTTTTACTCTGTGCCACGTGGACAGAAATATGACTACTCCTATTTTGGGAAAAGGGCCCTCTTTTGGTCCTACTTGAGTAATTTACTCGAATGTAAATTAAACACTAATTTACAGGACATACAAGTCTTTTTACTCTGTGCCACGTGGACGGAAATAGGACTACTCCTATTTTGGGAAAAGGGCCCTCTTTTGGTCCTATTTGAGTAATTTACTCATTAAAAAAGGAAAAAGTACAGATTTTCCGTACGGGAAGGGTAAAAATGGGTGCACGAACAAAATTAAATCCTATTTAAAGAAAAAAAAGATAGAAGTCCTATTTAGGGAAAACACACATGTTTGATAATAATAATAATACTAATAATAATAATAATAATAATAGTAATAATAATAATAATAATAATAATCTTATTATTATTATTATTAGTATTACTATTATTATTAGTATTATTATTACTATTGTTTTAGTTATTATTATTATTATTATTATTATTATTATTATTATCATCAACGTCATTTGGGGACCAACCTTAAATTCTCATTTTTTTTGTTTTGTGTAGTCAAATTTTAAGTGGGTTTTTTTACATTTTAATACACATAAAAAAGGAATTTTGGACCAAAGTTTTTATTTTCAAAAAGCTATCATGTGTAAAAATCAATAAATAAATTTATTACTCATGTGTATAAGAGGTTTGAATAAAAGTTGTACTTCTCCATAAATTATATGTTAGTACACTATTTTTTATGATAGAACTTTATTACCTCTATTATTTTGAAATTCAATGCCTGGAAAATAAATCTATTCACTGTTGATGATTAATCTCATATGATTATACTTACTTGTTGGATTAAGTCTACTTTCGGGCTCCCTTGCTTGATAGCACACGATGAGCACTCGGTTAGCAACATATGAATTAAAAATCTTGAGTGTGTTGTTCTTTACCTTGGAAAAAGCAATGCTATATAATGCAGTTGGATGCAATATTCAAGAAAACCTTACCATTTGACCTTAGAGAAGCAAACAATGATTTCTAGTGAAATATTTTTCCGGTTCCACTGTAACCATGCACCCAAAAAAATTCCTCTTTCACTTGTCATGACTTCCGATCCATTATTTCATTAGATATATTCCACTAATCTTCATTCATCGTACATAAATATTTTTCTTTGTCATAGTCCACTCCTCTACCAAGAAATTATGTTGATATCTACTAAGTGGATTGTCATCTCAAAATGGCATGCCACTGAGTTCTTTTAAAGATCGTCCAGTTCAGTTAAGCAAATTTTCAATCTCAATTAGACACAAATTTTTTAGATCTTCTTGTGAGATTATAAGTTCTGCCCAAAAAAGAAGTAGAAAAATTTGTTTATATGTCATGTTCAATTTAAAAAAAAAAATTATTTTCATATAATTCATTTCATATGGATTAATACGTTAAAAAAATATCTTTATGTTGAAATACCTTAATTCTGCAGTATTCTACGTGGATCAAATAAAATTTCATCCACCAAGAGTTCCTATAATTTATCCAAAACAATTTGTGGGAACTCATGGTACTTGTCACTAATAATGTGGCGATAAAACTTTCTTAGCAGATTCCCAAATCTTAACTTATTAACCTCTTTTGTACCTTTAATAACTTCTTTATCACATGTCAATAACCCAATGCTTTCCATGTTTCCTCGAGTGCGTTATGTAGAACATTTTTAATTATTCTCAAGCTTTTATAGCTTGTACATCCTTGCTGAACAGCTAGTAGTATTCTCAAGTAGTATAACTCTCGTTTTTATAGGCATATATTATAGTCTGCCAATTGATAGTATTTGTTGCCTCAAAACCATTTCCACACTTTTTGGTTGTACACAAAATATTCTGGAAACTCTTTGCATACGCCAAATTTTATGCCGCACAAGACTAGGTATTGGAAATCATCCAAGCTTTAAACGTCTTTTAGCTTCTGTTGGTCTCTAAAGGCTACACACTTCAGCATTGGGAGATGGAAATTCAACTTCAATAGTGAGGGCCACCTGTGGTGTATATGGATCAAAAGAATGGATTCTCTAAGAGATTTTACATGTGGATACGTAATGACAATCATAGTACACTGTTTCATCATACACCATATTATTTTATATTGGGTAACTGCACCATCTACTATCTAAACCTTTATTTACATATTTAAAGAGATATTTGATTGAATTACATTTATTCCAATATTTAATGTTGATTGATCTTAATACTTCATCAAGAGTTGTGGGTTGTATAACATAATAAATTAGTTATCCAACTCGATATACTTTCTCATTGTGGTGACCCCATATTTCTTCTTATGTATATCACGTAGTCATTTTCATCCAACGATCTTTTATCAACAAATTTTTTAATAAAATATTTCACGTGTTTACCATTGTCCATATACTACAAGAAAAATGTCCTTTAATGTAAGTAGAAACCGTAGCTAAAGTATAAAAACCAGTCATTAAAATATTTTAATGAGAGGAAATTTACTCTCATCGACCATCATTATAGCCTCCGTAGTTAATTACAAATAATGACAGATTTCAAGTCCTCTCATTAAAAAGTATATAATGAGAGTTCTTTTACCATCATCAAAATGCTCTTTTATGACTGAAAATCTCGTCATAGATACAATTAATTGTATTAAGAATTTTTTTCATTTATAATTTTTTATGATTAAATATACGATTATATATATATATATATATATATATATATATATATATATATATATATATATATATATATATATATATATATATATATATATATATATATAGACACACACACACACTTGTATAATATATATTACAAAAAGTAGTTTTATTAAAGGGTAAAGAGAGAAAAATGAGTACATGGTAGAATGTGTACTACTAGTGAGGGCCAAAACATGAACTTCGCAATATCCAAATGCACAAAGGTACCGGTTCAAAAGAGAAACAGAGATGTCTGTTGTTCATCTTGGGCATACCAAAAATTCAGCTAAAGTGGTCGTGAAAATCTTGATTGCAAGCAGTGTGAGTTGAGCAAAATGCACTCTTTCATGATTAGAGTTTAGGAGACTAAACACTGGTGAAGTACACGTAGCAGCTCCTTGAGAAGATATGTGACTCCCCACCTAACTCAAGGAACAACTCAATGAGTACCATGAACAAATAATCAAATGACTTTGGAGAACCAGTCAGGCAATTCCAAATAACTAAACTGTTAAAACTAAACACTAGAACACACTCAGAATTAGAAAACCAAGCCATTCTAAACTCTGATTGTATCCAAGGCTATAAAATCCAAATTTGAGGAGAACAAAACATCTCAACTACCCATAAGTAAATATCATACGCTCTAAAAATCAAGAAGCAAGGCCCCTAGATCATACTGAGTACTATTTTCTTAGATCATCTTAGCTTTAAGATATGAAACTATTACTAAATAGTGCAAAGAGTTTATCAATTTCTTTTGATTTCTTCTTTTATTCTCTTTCTTGGCATGCCAGTTTTCTTCTCCCCCCTCTTCTTATGATCCTCTATCTATTATCCATTCATCTTCAGATAGATCTGATGATGGTTTGCAAGGTGGCTGGATTTTCGTCCTAGATGTACAGCATTAGTTTTACTCCACTAAGGAAAATCCCTGAAGTGTCACAGATATTGCACTAATCAGCTAATGTGTTCTATGAAATTCAATTCAATTTAAGCAAAGTGCAGCTCTTATAACCTTCTCTTGCCTACTCCAGAGATAGGCCAAAAACATATGCGAAGTCCTTGGCAATTACAGCTGTAGTAACATGTTCTAATCTTCACAACTATACTCCAAAGTTAGGCAAAAAAATATACGCAAAAGTCTTGGAAAAAACCTGCTATATATAGTAGCATGAATTAAGGCCATTCCAAACAACCATTGCCAAAAAAGACTAGTTTACCAGCAACTAGTATGAACAACATCCTCAAATGTGATCCAACAACTAACTCTCTGAGTGCCATTTTCTTGACTGTATCAACATAGAAATACAATTAAAGATAGCATATAGCCAATTGAAAAAGAAGTACATAAATGCACACCTTACTTTTTTGTATACTTTTCTAGAGGCAGGTGTGTGTGATGAAATCCGGTCTTATCACCAAATTGTGCACAGAGAACAAGAGTAAGCATCACAAATAACCCTCTTGTGTGCGTTGTAGTTCTTCAACCTTTCTTCCTAAAACCAAAAAACCTTGAAGTTCTGCAACATTAGCCTAAAGCATCGATATTGGGAAAGAGATAATGTGGAAGAGTCCCAATTAGGAAAAATAAAAGAAATATAACCAAAACCCCTTTGACAATGACCCAGCAAAAACCCAATAACCTCTAACCTTTTTTGAGTAGCAACCATCACCCTATGATGAAAGTAAGGATCATAACAGAAGTTTTAGTCACAATGTCCTCATCCAAACTAATACCGAGGCTATTTTCCAAAAAAAGAGAAGAGAAACCACCTAAATAAATTTAAAAGACACAGGGTTATACGGTACAGATTTACAGTTATTTACCTACAACAAAGATCGATGAATACAAAATCAATTTCTTTTAAAAAGGGAAAAATTCAGCCCTGGGTAGATGTAAACTGAAGATACAAATATAATTTAATTAGATGCCATCAGGAGACAAATTCTTACGTAATTAATGATATTAATCTAAAATATATAACTTAATTGACCTAATATTACCAATTAACTCTATAATAACCTAATTGAACCCACCATTGAAACCATTAAAATGAAAAAAGAAACTTACAATCGATATGGCATAGGCTAAATTTGCATACAATTACACGGTGCACGTTGGTTGGAAAACGACGTCTGAGGCTCGCAGATGATTCTCGGTGATAACCCTTCATGAATTGTGTTGATGCATATGCAGAGATCGGAAAACAAAGCCCCCAACCACAAGGCAGAAACCAAGACACGTATCGTCGCCGGTCGTGAGTGTTGAGTGCACTCTTCATAGTCCCGAGGCTGGACGGAAAAATCTAGATGGGGAAGAAGAAAGGGCAGAGCGACAGATCGACGATAGAAAATAATGAACCTCTCTTTTGGACTTTGGAGTAAAAATGAGATTAATTTTTAGAGCAATGTTAAGGGTATACCAAAAGGTGTACCACATTTGTCCCCACCCTCTTATTCATCACTCATTTTTATTTACTTTTTATTCATTTAATTTTTTAAAAATATTCTTGCCCATTTATGTGGTAATGGAGAGGGTGGAAAACAAATGGGGTACACCTTTAATGTACCCCTAGCATTTTTCTACTTTTTATTTTGGATTAATATATTTTAGTTTAGTGTAAGTCAAAATATATGAAACAAATAGTGAGAGTGTTAATATTATGTATACTTATAGTGAGAGTATTCTTTTATGAAAAAAGAAAAAAAAATAATTTGTCACTAAAAGTAAAAACATTTAACTACGGTATTTTTTTCATGTAACAAAAACATATAAATAACACATTTAATGAGAGTATTCTTTACCCGTCATAATTTGATCGTAGTTGATGGTGTAAATTACTTGACCGGTCAAACTAACTAGACCGGGTCTAGAATAGTTGGCTTGACTCGATAAAATAATAAAGGTAAAAATACTCAGAATGACCGGTAGGACTTTAGGTGGAACACCTGTAGCCCGAATTATATTATAACAGAATGCACGGTCACTTTTACAAGGGAGTTTAGAGAGAGTGAATTCGGATCCCCTTCTTTGAGGGTTACAACAGGTATATATACTAGGCTTGGGGGACAGGACCACGTGCGCCCACGTGGGGGCATGCTGCTGGCGTGGTGTGAGGTGACGGCTTCGTCCTCGAGCTGCCCTGTCACCTTGTGAGAGGGATTATTCCCTCTGTCGCGTTCTGGCTTGGAAAAATGCCTTGAGCATCTCTGGAATGCCAACCACTACAGTCCAAGTCTTTTTGGACTCTTCCTGCCGACACTCATCAATCTTGTAAAATTGCGCCGGTTGGTACGGTTCTCGAAGGTTGGATTTGCTAACTTCAAAAGATGAATCAGATGCCGGCATAGTTTGACCGGTATACTATCCGAAGTATAACGGTCAACTTTTTGGTCAACCAGTCATCCCTCTGCTGACGATTCAAATCTTTCTTTCAAGTTTGACCTCTTTGACCGGTCAACTCTTCGGTTCCATCTTTTGACCGGTCATGGGTGAAATACACCCATCAATAAGCCATCCATTTCTCGGTTATGCAATTTTGTCATAAGCGGGAAGTAAAAAATCTGAAACAAGACTTTTGAATTCGAATTTTTGCTTTTCCCGCTCTTAAATTTTTGAATTTGAAATTTGAAAAGTGTCAATTACGACACGTGCTGAAGACTTAGCGCGGTTAGTCGCGCGTCCTTTCGCCTTCCCAGGTGCAATGATGCCGCCGCCTGACGCGGCGCGCCCCGGTGAAGCCACGTCGCCTCCTTCTTCGCTCTCCTCGCCTTTATAAAGGCTTCCAACCCCATTGCCTTCCTCACTTCTTCCTCGCGCGTCTCCCGAGTTTCACCGGTCAAGCTCCTCTTTCTTGCTTCCTAGCCCTCCGAGTCAAGTAAGTTTTCTTCCTTCCCTTATTAGTTTTCTTTAGTCTCTATTTTTTCTTCCGGTAGATGTCTTCTCCTGACAGTCAAGATATTTCCGCTTTAGATGCCCGCGCATATGAGGAATCCCCGTCCTCTTCCTCGTCGACCGGGTCGTCTTCACCCGTCCCTAGACCCCGGTCGATTCCCAACTCTAATGTCCCAAACCCGCTGCCAGTGAATCAGATGCCCGGTCAGGTTTTTCAGGAGAGGGATGCACCGGTGGAAGACGAACAGGCCCCCTATGACCCTGAAAACGAGTTACTCGAGGAATGGGAGGATCGGCTGGAAGCAGCCGGTTATTCTCCTCTCCCCACCAGCTATCCCTTAGAGATCTTTCCCCGGGTCTCTAGGATAGCTCAAAATAAGGTCCGTAGGAACCTGCCGGAGGGGTATGTCCTTGAATACGACCCCAGCTGGCCGAACATCATCGAGCCTCACCGGGACGATAGGATAGGTTTTCACATCATTTCCCTAGAGAGCGGTATTGTCTTCCCCCTACGTCCCCTTCTGATCGAGTTGTGCCACTGTTTCAAAATCCTTCCCGGGCAAATTACACCCAATGCTCACCGGTTCCTTAATGCTTTCGTAAACATTTGCGTTGAGCTCAAAATCGATCCTTCCCTTCGTTTGTTCCTTTATCTGTTTGAAGTCCTTCCCGGTAAGTCGGGTTGTGACGGTTATGTTTACTTCAGAGGCCGCAACGGTCGTCAATTTATCTCCGACCTTCCACAAAGCAACCAGCAGTGGAAGGAGAGATTTGTCTTTATAAAATTTCCCACCGTTTCTCCCTTGGCCGGTATTAAGTGGAATGATCACATCCTCAAATCCTAATACACCGAGCCGGCTAGCGCTCCAGACTTGGAAGAAAGTTTGGAGAAACTTCTACAGGGGGACCCGTTCACCGGGCAAATGTTCCACTATGGGGCCTGGATTTGGAGGATCCAATCGGGTGGCAAGGGTACCCCTCAGGCCCAGGAGGCAGCGGGGCACGGGGTACCCTCCCCGGGCAACACTGCTGAGGCCGGGGGCCCAAGTCACCCAGGTATCTTTCATTCATTCTCCTTAGTTCAATCTCACCGGTCAGAGTTTGAATACTCACAAGAATTTTTTGTATTTGTAGACATGAATTTCAGGGCCTACAACATGCCGAAGACAACCGGTGGATCTTCTGCTGCCGGTCCACGTACCTCAGAAACAAAACCGGTCCAGAAGGAAACTATTGAGGTCCACTCTGAAGAGGAAACTCCTGAGACCGGGGGAGTTTCTCAGACCGGGAAGGAACCGGCGAACTCTCCCCCCAACAAAGGGAAGGGGAAAAAGAGAGTGAAGCATACGGCCACCACCCATCCATCGGTCAAGAGGAGAAGGGGAGAAAACGCCCCGGCTGAAGAGTCGCTGGAGGAGCTCTGGGTCAAATTGACCCTCAAGCTGAAAGAGGTAACACTTATCCGGTATGTTCTCTTGAATTTGTCACTTGATCGTTGTACTAACCGGTGCGCTTTCCAATGTGTAGATGGGCGAAGTTAGGCCTGACGCCCTGGAGCAACTCACCAAAGATTCCTCCTCCCGGTTGGCCCAGTTGGAAGAGAGATTGAAAAGATCCGAGGCCCACAACCGGGAGCTTAAGGAGCTGACGGCCCGGTAGCTAGATGAGATGGTCGATCTTTCAGCGATTGCCGGGGGGCCAAAGCTGAGGCTCTCCAGTTGAAAGAAGAGAATCTGAAGCTGATGGAGGACCTGGAGCTGAAGGATGGAGAGTTCCCCGGCAGGGCTAAGCATTGGGTGGGGGAGAACCTGGAGGAGACGACCCGGGTGATTACATCTACTCTGGAGGTGACGATGGAGGCCTTCAAGTTCCTCTACCGGAAGGAACAAGGGAAAGAGATGATCACACAAATCGGCTCGTACGGTTTCATGTTCGGGCAGAAAAGAGACCAGGAGGCTACACATGCAGTCCTGACTGAACGTGACCCGACTTTTTCTGCTGAAGCCTATGGTCTGGCCCCCATCCCTGAAGAAGAGTCTGAACCCCCTTTCCCTTTGGAGTGAAATCTTCCCGGCTGCGCCCGGTTATCTTTTGTAAACTTGAAAACTAGAAATTTCCCCGGGTATGCCCGGTGTACTTGTAAACACTTGATATTTTATTCTTGTTTGAATGCCATGTTTTATTTTCGCACCGGTTAATCTTCCATATCTGCTTGCTCCTTGATCAATACTTTGCTTCTTAAAATGCCTTCACAAAAACTTTGACCGGTTAAGCTTCGATTCTTTGCTTTGCCTCTTGATAGACTCCAACCGGTGTAACTCCAATTATTGTTTTCAGATGCCTTTAGGTTGAAGATCAACTCGAGTAAACTTGACCGGTTGAACTCCAACTTTGACCTGTTGAACTCCAACTTTGACCTGTTAGACTTCAACTTGATGGTCAACTCAAAAATGTTTGACCGGCTGAACTTCATTTTGGATTTTGGATAACTTCTTCGATAAAGTACAGTTGGACCGGTAAATCCTTGCTTCGCGGTATGACCGGTTAACTCTTTGCCTTGTAGAACTTTCGATGGGGTAGAACCTTCGGGGTATTCCTTTTTTTTGACCGGTAGGTTGTAGATGGATGCACCTGTAACCTGTAAAATTTTGAAATATCCTTAACCAGTAAGGATACTGGAGAATTATCCATGTCGAATGGTTTCGAACCCTCTCCAAGGTCCAAATGCACCCTTCTTCCAAGGCCCCCTCTTCCGGGTGATTAAGTCTTTTAATGGCCCTTTGATTTCTACCATCCCGGGAAGGCCTTAGCTCACCCCCCGTTCAAGTCTTCCCTGAGAAGGGGGAAATAGGATGCGCCACGATGGACGATCCCCTTCTATTTCTTTTAATGGGCATCTTTTAGTCCCCAATCAATTTGACGGCGCCGGCTGATTCCCCGACACCGGTCAAACCTCATGGGCCCGTGTAAGTATGGTTCGAACCCTCTTCCAGGTCCAGCCCTCTTGCAGGCATACCCTCTTCCGGGCCCCTCTTCTGGGTTTTAATATTTTTTCTATTATATTAAGCAAGACCGGTGTAGTAACCAGCGTGCCAGGTCCGGGCCTGTGTCTCAGTTGGCTTATCCAAGTGGATTCGATCCACCTGGGAAGCCCTCCTACTATAGGTTTGACCTATCATTCCTGCTGTTACCATGTAGAATGCTGAATGTCATTGGTTTGATTGATAATAAAGTAGGCCTTGCCTAGTATTACAATCATTTGTAGAACTTGCAAAGATGGTGGGAATTCCAGGTTCGTTCTACCGGTACACCATCTAGAGTTTCTAACCGATAGGTTCCCGGGCGAATGATAGCTCTCACCCGGTAAGGTCCTTCCCAGTTCTTGGCCAGCTTTCCTCCATCTCCCGGTCTACTAGCCTCCCTTCTTCGCAGGACTTCATCACCGACTTGGAAGTAACGTGGCCCAACCTTGTTGTCATGGTACTTCTTCACCACTTGTTGGTATGTACTCAATTTTACCTCCGCGGCCATTCTTCGCTCTTCGACCAAGTTGAGTTCGGCCAAGTGATCTTCCTCGTTCTGCTGGGGTTGATAATTTGATTCCCGAAACGTTGGGAATTCAGCTTCGATGGGCAGCCTTGCTTCACATCCATAAGTTAGGGAGAACGGAGTTTCCCCATGAGCCCTCCTGGGCGTCACCCGGAATGCCCATATAATGTGCGGGACCTCTTCTAACCACTTGTTTCCTGCCTCTCCCAGCCGCTTCTTCAGGCCATCCACAATAGTCCTGTTGGCATTTTCCACCTGGCCATTTCCTTGGGGGTACGCCACCGAAGAGCGATTGTGCTTGATTCCGAAGCCCTCCAAGTATTCGGTGAATCTTGGATTTCGGAATTGCGGGCCGTTGTCGGTGATTAGGTTCATGGGAGCCAAACCTTGTGATGATGTTCTTCCAAATGAACTTCTTGCATTGTTGCGTGGTAATGTTGGCCAACGCTTCGGCTTCAATCCATTTGGTGAAGTAGTCGATGGCCACGATTACGAACTTCTTTCTCCCCTGGGCTATTGGGAAGGCTCCAATGATATCAACCCCGAACCTAGCGAATGGGATGACATTCGACACGGGGTGATAGTAGGTCGCCGGTCTACCAGGGTATTTGTAGAATACCTGGCACGTCCCGCATTTCTGAACGTACCTTTCGCAATCCTGGACAATTGTTGGCCAGTAATACCCCAACAAGATAATGCGCTGGGAAAGAGTACGGGACATCTGATGCGCCACGCATACACCTTCATGGACTTCTGCTATGACTCGCTCAGCCTCCCGGTTGGTTAGGCACCTCAGGAGTGGCCCCCCGAATGCCCTTTTGTACAGCTTTCCATCAAGGACTTGGAACCGGGGTGCCCTCAACTTCACCTTTCTTGCCCGGTCTTCTTGTTCCGGCAAGGTTCCGTCCATTAGGTATTCCATCAGATCATACATCCAGTGGTCATCCGCCCCGACCAAGTTTGACCGGTCAGGTTGGCTTGCTCCTGTTATGGCGGCTACTTCCAATTTTTCGATGCTGGCATGGTCTAGGATTTCCACCCGGGCAAGTTTTGAAACATGCTCGGGAGCGTACAACGTCAATTTAGAGAGAAGATCTGCATCTGCATTTTCTGCCCGGGGGATTTGGGCGATCTTGAATTCCTCGAAGCTTTTCAATAAGGCAAGTACCAAGTCTTTGTACTGTGCCATCCGCCCTTCTCTAGCTTCCATGTTACCGGACACTTGCCCAACGATCAAACTGGAATCAGATTTGATACTGACCCGATTGATCTTCAGGGCTTGGGCAAGTCTGAGCCCTCCAGCTAGAGCTTCGTATTCTGCCTCGTTGTTCGTCAGCTTGAAGTTGAAGACGATTGCATGGTAGATCTTGAACCCTTCTGGGGTGGAAAACACGATTCCACCCCCATACCCTCTAGGGCCAGATGCCCCGTCTACCGCCATCTCCCACCATTGCTCAGTGGGTTTGGTGACCGGTAGATCTGGAGTTAGCCTGGTCATTTCCACCAGGAAATCCGCAAGGGCCTGTCCCTTGATTGCTGACCTCGGCCGGTACTCAATGTTGAACTGAGTTAACATCATTGCCCACTTCACCATCCTCCCGGAGGATGTTGAATTTCGCAACACTGCACCCAGCGGCTGGTCAGTCAAGACTTCTACCGGGTGAGCTTGGAAGTAGGACGTTAACTTTTTTGCGGAGATGAAAAGCGCGTAGGCTGTTTTTTCCATCGCCGTGTATCTACTTTCTGCTCCGTTTCGTGCTTTGCTCACATAATAAATAGGCTTTTGTGCCCCATCATCTCTTATTAAAACAGAGCTTACAGCATTTGGGGAAATTCCCAGGTACAGATACAGAGTTTCACCCGGCTGGGGTTTAGACAATACAATATCTGACACTAGGTACTCTTTCAGCTCCTCGAATGCCCTCTGACACTCTTCGTCCCATGCAAAAGTGTTGGCCTTCTTCAGGACTTTGAAGAAAGGCAGGGACCTCTCAGCTGACCGGGAAAGGAACCGGCTGAGTGCCGCTAGACAACCGGTCAACTTCTGGACATCCCTCACAGATGTGGGGGCCTGCATTTCAGTGATAGCCCGTATTTTTTCTGGGTTGGGCTCTATTCCTCTCTTGGTCACCATGAATCCCAAGAACTTCCCGGTACGAACCGCGAAGACGCATTTCTTGGGATTCAACCGGAGGTTGTATCTTGCCATGATATCAAATGTGGCACGCATATCAGCCGGGTGGTTGAGGGATACCTGGCTTTTGATCAGCATGTCGTCGACGTACGCCTCCATGGTCTTTCCCAACAGTGGCTTGAAGAGCTTGTTAACCATGCGCTGGTAGGTTGCCCCCGAATTCTTCAAGCCAAACTCCATTACCCAGTAACAGTAGGTTCCTTCGGGTGTGAGGAATGACGTCTTCTCTTCATCCTCCTTGGCCATGTAAATCTGGTGGTAGCCCTTGAAAGCATCCATGAAACTTAGGAGTTCACACCCCGCAGTTTCGTCCACCATTTGATCTGGACTGGGAAGGGGGTATGAATCCATCGGACACGCCTTGTTCAAGTCCATGTAGTCCACACACATTCTCCATGTGTCCCCCTTGGGAGCAAGGACCACGTTAGCCAGCCAATCCGGGTATTTGACCTCCCGAATGTGACCAACACTGAGGAGGTCCTTCACCTCTTTCTTGACAAAGTCTCGCCGGTCACTGGCTAGGTACCTCTTCTTCTGGCGTACCGGTCGACTCCCATCTCTTACTGCCAGCCGGTGACAGATGATTGAGCGGTCAATTCCGGGCATATCTGCCACGCTCCATGCAAATACGCCCGCGTACTCTTGGAGCACCCGTGTAATCTCTGCCTTGAGATCTTCTGGGAGGTTTGCTCCAATTCTGACCATCCTTGATGGATCACCCGGGTGAAGTTCAATCTCCACCGTCTCTGCTTCAGGCTCCGGTTTCTCTCGGGTCTCTCCCTTTGTGATTTCTTGGGAGATGACGTTGACCCCCTTAGTCATCTTCTTGACCGCCCGGGAATAGCACTCCCGGGCGTTCCTCTAGTCGCCCCTCACTTCTCCCACACCGCCTGGAGTGTAGAACTTCATGCACAGGTGTGGCATGGAAATTACCGCCCAGACTTTGTTGATGCCTGGCCTTCCAAGGATTGCGTTGTGGACGCATTTGATGTCCACAACAATGAACCGCATTCTCTTCCACACGGTCTTTTTGCCCGATCCTAGTTCGACCGGTAGAACTATGGACCCTTCAGCTTCTACCGTATCTCCCGTGAAGCCTGAGAGAGGGGTTTTGAGGGGTTCAAGTTGTGTCCGAAACAACCTGAGTTTCTGGAAGGTCTTCAGGTAGAGGATGTTGACACTGCTGCCGGTGTCAATAAGTACCCGGGCGACGTCCACCCCATTGATGTCCATGGTGATGACCAATGGATCATTGTGATCTTCACCGGTAGGAGGGAGATCCCGGTCAGTGAAAACTATCGGCTCCCTCCTAGTATGCTTACGCCTGGCCGGTTCAGCACTTACCTCACCAACGTAAATGCTGCGGACCCAATTTTTCCGCTGCGCGCCTGAATCTCCGCCTTCAGGCCCGCCGAAGATCATTCCAATATGTTCCTTGTCAGGGGCTGGCTTCTGCTCCCTCTGCCGGTTATTCCTCCGCCGGTCCCTGTCCCGGTCGTTCTCCTGGGTTGCTGGCCTAACCCATTAGTGGTTCTTCTCTTGGGCTTTCTGCAAATAATCTTTGCCCAGTTCCCCACTGTTTATCATCTGCCGGATCACTCCCTTAACACTTTTACATTCGGAAGTATTATGAGAATCTGACCTATGGTATGAGCAATAAGTGCCCGACCACTGACGCCCAATTTGACCGGTAGGATTTTCCGGAGGAATGACCGGTGCTTTTCTTACCTCCTGGCATTCTTCTGTATTGACCACTCAGACTACCGGGTCATAGTGGTGCCTTGGTCGGCTGGGTACCGGTGCTTCTTCCTTCTTGACCTGCACCGGCATGGGCTTGTAACCATGCTCTGCTTCTTTCTTTGCCCGGAGTTGAGTTTCAGCCTCAGCAAACTCCCACGCAGTATGGTAGGCTTCCTGATACGTGGCCGGGGGTTTCCGACAGAATTCCTTGTATAGTTCCCCAGCACGCAAGCCATTCAGGAGGAGGGACAATACTGTTTTATCGTCCATCTCCTCGATCTTGTCTACCTCTTCCTTCCACCGGGTGAGGAATTGGGTGAGGTTCTCAGATTCCCTCTGTCCGGCCGTACTAAGATAGGTGAATTTCTTCCTCTTAGTACAGTTCTCCAGGAACTTGGCCTTGAATTTCGAGGCCAAGTCGCTGAATGAGTCAATGCTTCTTGGGCGAAGCTTGTTGAACCATACAGTGGCTCGATTTCGCAAGGTCTGGAAGAAAAGGAGGCACTTTTTTTCGTCTGTACAACCGTTCATGGTTGCACTCTGATTGAAGGAGTTCAGGTGAATTTCTGGATCTTCCTTCCCGGTGAATCTTGGGGCGTCTATCTTAACCTTTCGCGGAAAAGGTGTTAGATGGACCCTTGTGGTGAACGGGCACCCTGCGAGGGGTTTGTCCCGGTCATTCTTCTCCCCGACCTTCTTCTCCAGTCTTTCCAATTTTGCCTCCATCTGCTAGACGCGATCATTGGGGATGGTTAACCGGTTAGCCACCGGTACCCTGGGTTGGCTTTCTGCCTCCTCCTCCTGGCGAGAGGCCCACGTCCTGACTGGCTCCTGCCGGTTTGACCGGGAGCGTTGGATGCGGGCAGGCTCGGCCTCCCTCAGCTCGCCTAACCGGGCGAAAGCGCTGACATGGGCAACACTTTGCCCCAGCCTCAGCTTGGCTGATTTTCTCTGGCCCTCTTCCCTATCCCCCAGCCTTTCGAAGGTGGCGTTTCGGGAGGTGGCGGGTCGGATGGTTTTTCCCTTCTTTTTCTTGTGAGTCCTTGGAATGTCCCACTCGTCATCTCCGCTCTCAACCAAGACGCAGTGACCCTCGGGGGTAATCTGTGGATTCGTACCTTGCGGGGGACGCGACGGCCCTGCAGCATTGAGTGCACCAGTCAAGTTGACAGGCGCCATGGTGTTGGCTAGTTGCGGCTGGAAAGGTGAAGTCTGTGGCACCGGCGTCTGGAACGGTGTTACTGCCATTGGAGCTTGAAGGGGCATCGTTCCAGCGCCTGGAAGGGCGAATGGAAACATGCAGGGAGGAAAGGAATCCCCCCATTCTGTTGGCACATGGCCATGACCGGGCCAAAGCCCTGGATGACTTGTAAGTTGGCTGGGTCATTCATGAACTGAGTCATGCTTGGTGGGAACGTGACCCTCGGTCCAGCAGAAGGGACGGGGGCCATGAATGGGCTAACCATGCTGGGTGTTGGGACTGAGCTTAGTCCCAACGACAAAATTGGAGTAGAAACGGCTGGAAGGGTAGCAACCATGGGGATGCTGGTACCTTCAGTGGTGGCTTGCACCTGAGCAGAGGTGGCGTTGATCTGCTGGCTTGAAGACATTTTGAGTGGTGTTTTTGTGGGTAGGTTTGTGTTTAGAAGAGAAGAAACCTTAACGGTCCCACGGTCGGCGCCAAAAATGATGGTGTAAATTACTTGACCGGTCAAACTACACTAGACCGGGTCTAGAGTAGTTGGCTTGACTCGATAAAATAATAAAGGTAAAAATACTCAGAATGACCGGTAGGACTTTAGGTGGAACACCTGTAGCCCAAATTATATTATACCAGAGAATGCACGGTCACTTTTACATGGGAGTTTAGAGAGAGTGAATTTGGATCCCCTTCTTTGAGGGTTACAACAGGTATATATACTAGGCTTGGGGGGACAGGACCACGTGCGCCCACGTGGGGGCATGCTGCTGGCATGGTGTGAGGGTACTGGCTTCGTCCTCGAGCTGCCCTGTCACCTTGTGAGAGGGATTATTCCCTCTGTCGCATTCTGGCTTGGAAAAATGCCTTGAGCATCTCTGCAATGCCAACCACTACAGTCCAAGTCTTTTTGGACTCTTACTGCCGACACTCATCAATCTTGTAAAATTGCGCCGGTTGGTTCTCGAAGGTGGGATTTTCTAACTTCAAAAGATGAATCAGATGCCGGCATAGTTTGACCGGTATACTATCCGAAGTATACCGGTCAACTTTTTGGTCAACCAGTCATCCCTCTGCTGACGATTCAAATCTTTCTTTCAAGTTTGACCTCTTTGACTAGTCAACTCTTCGGTTCCATCTTTTTATCGGTCATGGGTGAAATACACCCATCAGTAGTTAAAAGTAGATTCTCTTGTAGTACCCCTTTTGCTCTATTCTTACTCTTCCTTTGAGCTTTAACTATTTATGTGAAATGAAAAATGCCAACTTTTCCATCCCACAATACTTCTCCACTCTCACCAAATAGTGGTCTCCCAACCACACACAAAAACATGACTTTAATTATGAACTTTTTTTATTTACATGTTCTGTATGGGTCAATTTCATCTGGAAGCAGGTAAAATTTTTGTGAAGTTTTAGACATATAAAACAACTTTTCATCAATGTGTAAAATATTGTGAAAACTTTTAAACTGAGGATGGATGGGCATGCTGTAAGGGTCTACTTGATCTAAACAGAACCTCAACCTTGAGATTTTATTGGCATCTGTTAAGAAGGGTTTGATAGCATTAAAATGGCTCCTAAGCATACCTCTTTTTATCCATTCATGCACAGTTGACTTAGGCTTGCCAATAGTAGCAGCTAATGATCTTTCATTAGTCCTCTTCCTAAGTGGAGTGTCTGCAATGGCCTTTGCATCCATCATTGCCCTTTTCTTGCGAGTCTCTAGTCTTTCCTACCATTCGACTACTCACATCAATAGCAACCCCTTCCTCTATTTGTTTCTTTGCAATGGCCCATATCTTGCTCACTGGTTTTCTAGATACATTAAACTGTGCAGAAAGTTTGTTGATATGCCCATACTTAGCTAAGTATGAACCATTTGGATTTTGCTTTGAATGAACTAGTAATGTGTCACTAATTACCTGCCTGGTTGTGTTCTCTAACTTCGTTGTATTTATGTGAGGGTATTCATCATCCATATGTGTTTGCAGGCCTCCAAGAAGTGCATTATCCAGCAAAAGAGAAAAACAGAAATTTAAAGAGAAGATTGTGCAAGGATAGCAGCGAGAAGAAAATGAAGAGAAGAGATTCAAGAAAAAACATGCCAAATCAGGGAAGGAGTGGGGGGTTATATAGGACTGCAACCGCAAATAGGGGTGAGCATGGTACGGTATGGTACGGTATTTAGCTCGTACCGATACTGTACCAAATATTTCGGTTCAATATGGAATTTTACTCCGTACCGATCCCGATCCCAAAATATCGGTTCGGTGTGGTTCGGGATGGTTCAAGATCGGTTTCGGTACAAATCGGGATGAATATACATACCTACTTTACACGTTAAAATTTAAAAATGTCCCTTTATTTTTGAAAATTAAAAAGTGATTTTAAATAAAAAATTAAAAAATTAAAAAAAATGAATATTTAAATGCAAGCGACGTGTATCAAAATTTAGTTTATATTTCACAAACTAAAAAATGAACGATAATAAAGGAGTATTTTGAATCTTTGTGAATACTTTTATGTTCATACACAAAAATTAAAACTCAAAGAAAAGTGTAATTTATACATAATAGAACTTGAACCAATGTTTTTTAAAAAAAATTACACGGAGTATTATTTAGTGAAGGAATATAAAAATATTACTCCGTGGTATTATTTTTTATAATATTTTAGTATATACATTCGGTTCGGGATTTTTGGTATGGGACGTCCCCTTTTACCGTTCCCAAATACTGTGCCGACCATTCGGTTCGGTACGATTCGGTTCCTTCTCGGTACTTTTTTGATTCGGTATTTTTCGGTTCGGTATTCTCGGTTTTTTCGGGAAAATTCGGTATCAGTTCGGTACTTGCTCACCCCTAACCGCAAATCCTATTTTAAAATTTTTGGATTGTTTAAGCGGGTAGTTTTATAAAAATAGAAGGGAATCTGATTGTTTTTTGGCTGATTTGGTAATGTAATTCTTATTTGATGTATCAAACCCATACTTTGCTCCTGTTTTGGCAACGGTAATGGTACTCCGTATTGTTCATTTCTTCATTCTGCATGTGGCTTTCTTTTTCTTATTTTTTCTAGTAAGGATATTCTTGTCATTTTATGGCCTTGGTCAACTTCCACTAAAAATAATAGTCAAGCCTGAAACTTAGAGCACTGGGTATACATATAACGCCGATCGGCGTTAGGGAGCGTTAATGCCCCGGGGGCGTTAAACATCGCCCCCCGGCGGCGTTACCCGGGCGTCACCAGCCCTGCGTCAAAGGAATGACGCTGCGTCATTCCTCTCCCCTCCCCCCATAACGGCTATAATAGCCGTTGCACCCTCCAAATTCAAAAAAAAACCTTTTTTTCTTATAAATTCAAACCCCCCCTCCGAATATCTCACACCTTCTCCATCTTCAATCTCTTCTTCTTCCCAATTTTTAAATTTCGAAATCACCCCTCTCTTTTCAACATGAATCCCTCCGGTTCCGGATTCTTTCCCGACAATCTCGCGCCAAGCGATGCCGCGATGTGGTATTACGAGGAGTTGGGTGATCGACCGCCGATGTACCAGACGCAACAATCGGGGTACGTCGACCGAGATTCGGTTCCGGAGACTCAACCGGAACCGTCCGGGTCGAAGAAAAGTACACGCCGGAAAAGCCACAAAACCAAAAGCATGTTGATTGAGGCGGCATGGTCAATCCAAAAGTGGACACCAGAGGAGGAGTGCATATTGGCGTAGGCTTGGGTTGACGTCTCCGAGCATCCTATCATTGGTAAAAAATTTATTTTTTCTAATATATTTATGTTTTTATTTATATTTATATTTAATGGTGTCTAAAAAAATTGTGTAATGCATTTTTAAAGGTTCAGAGCAAACGAAGGATGCGATGTGGGATGGTATCGAGGAGAAGTTCTTCACGGCGATGAAGAAGGACGGCTCCTACTGAACCCGGGACCAACTCACTTCCAAATGGAGCCACATCAACTGTAAAGTCCGAAAGTTTATCGAAGTTTACGAGGAATGCTCCCGGTCCCGGAGGAGCGGGATGAACGACGTCGATGTTCTCCGTCTTGCCACGGCCCGGTATCAAGACGATGGGCACCAAGGCAAGGTGCCCATCGATCTTTGGAGGATTTTGAGTCGTTCCCCGAAGTGGAAACAACTCAACAATCCCGACGGCGGATCGTTCCGGAAAAGATCCACCGTCGACGCCAAGGTTGAGGTCGACGAGACTATCTGTTCAACCGATCAAATCCCTCCCTTCAACGTTGCGGATTCCGATGACGAGAACCCCATTCCACGACCGATCGGAAGAAAGAAGGCAAAATCCATTGCCTCTGGTTCGGGAGGGTCCGCCTCTGTTTCCGCTTCTTCACGCGACGAAATCGGCCGGGAAATGGTTGAACAACTTCGGGCATTCAATCTCCGAGAACAAGAGAGGTTGAAGCTAAAGGAGAAGGAGTTGAAGCTAAAGGAGCAGGAGGCCGAGATGAAAGTCATGGAAGCCGACCCGGGACGTTGTCGGAGATTGGACTCATGATCTACTAGCAAAGAATTAGAGAGATCAAGGAGAAATATAAGTTACCTTAGTTTTTTTTATTAATGTATCTTTTTTTAAATTATTGTCGCTTTTTTTATTTAATTAATGTATTTTCTTATTATTCGTGTTTCAATTTAATTAAATAATAAATTAATTACTCCAGTTTGAAGATGTATATTTAATTTTAAAAGATGTATATTCAAAAAAATAAAGAATGAAGGTTGAAGCCCCAGTTTCAAGTCTGGGGCTTCAAACCCATTTCAATTTTGGGTGTACTGGCAGAGAGAAGGTTTAACGTATTTACAGTGCCCGAGGGAGTATATGTTTCCGGTACCATCTTTGGGAAGGAAGGGAAGACATTGGTGTGAAAAAGTCCCAACTTACCCACTAAAGCATTACTCCCAAATCGAACCCCAATAGCAAACACCGAAATCAAACCCTAATCTACCCCCCACGTCGTCGACGCCCGACGCGAACCGTCCGACCACTACATCCTCTCAGTACTGGTGTGCCTTGTTTTCTATCCTCTCCGCCGCCGCCAAGTGCGGCAGCTGTTGGTGGTATTTGGACATCAGTTAAGGTATTGCTTAATTTTTGTGCATTTGGATTACTGGTTCATTTGAAATAATTTTCTTCATGTTAACTTATTTTAAGTTGTAAACGCACTCCAATTTGCTGACTAGCTGTTAGTACAAGAAAGTATGAGATGGCCCAGGCTTTGTTCTTGCATTAGATTCTTTTGTTTCGTGATAGGCAGTTACATATTCACGTTTATGGAGAACCACAGGCTTAAACTCACTCACATAACATTTGTAGGGAAAATGGAGACCAAATTAAACACATTAAGCTTATAACACAACTGGATTATAAGTATGTTGTAGATGATGTACTATGCTTCATATTACTATCCCATATTGAATTGTTGTTTCCTTTGGCTTCCAAATCATACTGTTTTCTTGTGTTTCATTGTTATCTTAAATCAACTATACATTCTATAGATTTTTGCCTTGAATCCAATGCACATGTTTTTCAAATTGCTCCTCAAACACGGATTATATTCAATGCACATAGAAAGTGCCCGCCACCTCCAACAACATGACAAGGAGAACGAACACTAAAGTTATTCATGCATGGTGCCAAATAATCTAGGAACAGACAAAATCCAAACCTTCTCAATTCGGTTCTGAACCAAACAATCACAACTCCATTTTTTCTTCTCTCCAAGCATCGATAAATAGTCCACAACATTAGATAGATAACACGTTAATATCTAATTAGAACAAAAAATCTTCAAACAGTTTTATTATCCACAAAGTCAAAATGGCTTCAATTTATTCATTATATATGTATGTATGTATGTATGTATGTATGTAATATTCCTAATTTGGCCCCTTTCGTAAATAGTACATATTTTATTCTCATCGCTTGTATTTCACTCTTTTTTAATGAGAGGAGTTTAGAGCAAGTTGTTCAGAGCCATTGACAGTGACACACTGACACCACATGCATGTTTCTTTCCCCTCGGCCACTTTACACGACCTTCTCCAACAATGATCCGACCACCAATGTGAGATCAATGTTCACAAAAAAAGGATGCATGGGGAGTAGTAAGATGCATGGGGTGATTGAATGTTTGAATCCATCTATTAAGTACAACAAATAGCTAAAAATAATATTACAAGTTAGTCCAAGGTTCCAAATTTGACATGGATATGCCTTAAAGAACTGCTGAACGTTTTTGCAAACTGCAAACAAATAAATATAAATAATGAACTTCACTTAATACTCCGTAATCTATCTATACTCCTATACAAAAGCAAAAGAAGATTTTGGGGATTAAAAAAAAAAAGAAAAAAACCATTTTCCCGCCCAAGTTGATGTAAAATCTAGACCGTATATCTGCATTCCATGATAAATCTAGGGCTATAATTATTCTTTGGGATTGATGATGGAATGATGCCACCCACCACCATTAATTTCAATCATAAGTGATATTATTAATTATTCAATGAAGACCTTTGCACTTCTCAATTCTCTTTCCTATTCAAATTAATCGTGTGTGCACTGCATCAATCCCCACTTTATTGCGTGTGAGCTGCATGCAAGGAATATGAACCAGTGCTTTCCATTACAGCCCTGTAAATGAAGTTTTGATCATAAAAAAAGTACTCCGTAAGAGATAGCAATAAATAATAATAATTATATTACCAGAACTTGACAGAATTTTTTTTAAATTATTTACCTATTGCACTCAAAATAAAGAAATGATACATGAGGATGCTTTTTTTTAAAAAATATTTCATTGCGAGCTAAAAAAAACATCATAGTTACTAATTTTAATTTACTTATTGCACTATAAATAAATAAATAATATAAAACACTTTGATATATCTACAGATTAATACTCCCTCTGTCTCTAAATAAATTTCAATTTTTGACTTTTTGAGGATTTAAGGGAGAGATATTTTTGTGTTGACTTTCTAAAAATACTCTTGATGTGATAGGTAGGGTATGAAAAAGTAATGGGTAAAAGAGATCTTTTAAGAGAAAAGAAAAGTTTATTTAGGGATAAAGAAAAAACGAAAGAAGAACTTTATTTAGGGACGAATGAGTATATAACTACAGATTAATATTATATTCTCTTATGTACTCGTATTAAAAAAACCAATCATTGAGTCAAAAAATGTTTCCAGTACCAATCATTCAAAAAACATTTGGAGTAAAAGAGGCATATTAAAATGGATAAATCCAATAGATAGTAGATAGAAAGAGAGGCAAGCAAATGGATTACGAGAGACAGATCACAATCGTGGTGTAGGGATTGGGAGAGGGGTGGAAGAAAATGTTACGGAGTATTAATTTTTCAAGACTCCGTTCCGTTCAACTTATTTTTTCTGATCTGATCTGATTTTAATAAGTTCTGATCTGATTTTAATAAGTTCTGATCTGATCTGGTCTGATCTGATCTGATTAATTATGATTTAATTTAAAATTTAAAATCAATAATTTGATTTGACTTTATAATACGTTTGAAAATTGTAATGATAGTTCATATTATAATATAATCAATATTTTTTATTTAATGATTATTTTTTAATAAAATAAAAATAGTTAATTCATATATTAGAATAATCATTCATATTATAATGTAATAATATTTTTTATTTTATGATTATTTTTTTGTGAAATTAGAATATTAATTTAATATTTTAATAATTACTACAGATATACATTAGAATAAATATTTAATTTAGATATACATTAAAAAATAATTAAATTTAGATAATCAATATATAGAAGATATAGTATTTTTATTAAAATATCTCATCCTTATAAAAGATCAAAACTTTAAAAACTCAAATTACAAGTAGCAATAAAAATATATTTTAAAAGTAGAATTAGATTAACATTGTCAATGTATTTTAAAACTATTTTTTCCCACGTCTAATAATTAAGGCTTATTTTCTCAGTTTTCTATTTAACCTATTTCTAAAGTTTATTCTTTTTCATTTTAAAGAACAATAATAATAATAATGATGATGATGATGATGATGATGATCATAATAATAATAATAATAATAATAATAATTCTTGATGGGATCTGATTTTAATAAGTCCTAATCTGATCTGATCTGATTGGATCTGATTCGATCTGATCTGGTCTGATTCGAATAAGAAAAAATAAGTTGAACGGAACAGGGCCTAAGTCTACTCTTAAGTTGTATTCCGACCAAAGTTAATTTCACACTCACCATAACCGATATTTTTCATCACTCCACGTCATACATATTTACACCCTGTCAAACCCCACAAATAGCCTTACAAATATTGTGATTGTATATCTAATTAATTTAGAGTTTGCTACTAATTTATGTTGAATTTATATATTTAATCCTACATCTAAACTTTGGATTTATATATCTATTTAATGAAAAATTTCATTTTAATATTTTGGAATAAATTACTCACCATGCAACGCACGGATATGAATATAGTAAACTTGATTATAAAAAGAAAAGAACAGTTAACTTTTATTTTAAAAAGGATATTTAGAAGCTGAGGAGTCCTAAATCGACTTGTGGGGTGCAATTGAAGGGGATGGGGGGGTTTGTTCGGGGCGGGACGGAGTGAGGGGGTTTACCGGGGGGTTAAGGGGGTAGGAACTGTCAATTTTACGAACGGGGCACCGGAGCACCCCCGGGTCATCCCATGACATTGGTTCCTAATGTTATGGAAACCAAAGTGAAAAAAATAGCCTCTATGCGGCTATACCTATTCAAGAATTGAATAAAAAAGTTTCATTCAGAATACATATACTGGCCTTGTTTGGATGTCGGCTGTCAGCTGTTGGCAGTTGGCAGTTCGTGCTAGCTGTTGTGAATGGTTGTTTAGTTTAGCTGGTTTGACTGGCAGAATGAATTGGCTGATCGTTAAAAATGTTTGGTAAAATTAGTTGTTTGAAAATAGTTTTTCATATATATATATATATATATATATATATAGTTTTTCATATATATATATATACACACACACACACACACACACACACAATATTCGATATTTATTTTTCATTTTTTACATGTTAAAATTAAATCTTTACTATATGGAGTATTAAATTTTAATTTCATTTAATTCATAAATTTTAATTCTTTAATATAATTTTTTTAATGATTTTTACTTTTTATTTTCTCATTTCACTTTTTGAAATTTCTAAATTTTAAAATTTATTTTTTTTAGTATTTAATTTTTTTAACTTTTATTTTTATTTTTTACATATATTATAAAATATCTTACAATAAAAATGATTTTATAAAAATTATTTTACCTAACCACCAAGTCCAAATGGTACTCCCCTTGGCATTTCAGATTTTGGCTTTTCGGATCAAAGTGCCAAGTGAAAAAGCCATTAGCCAAACAATGGTTTTGGCGGTTCGTTTGGTCAAAAAAGCCAAAGTCAGTCAAAGATGCCAAAAGCTATCCGAAATGTTATTTTCCAAACACGGCCACTATGTCAGATTACATTTTCCAAAGCATATCCTCACACCATCAAAAT